TACTAAAATTACCTGTAAAAATGGCATTACTGAACACCTGACTCATCTTCATTTTCAAGATAGGCTTCTATTCTTCTCTAGTATGTGTTAAATGCAACGGTGAACTTTGATACATATAACAGCTACATTCTGGGTTGAATATTGAGGAATATCAGTATTATTTTTAGTTTTAAAATAAATTAATTTGTAACTTAGAATTTTAATTAATTTGACACCTACCTTTTCATTCATATTAACTCCTAATGGGCCTCTGAGAATTTATTTTTCAATTTACAAGAATAAAAGGATAGGAAATACAGTACAAGAAAGAGATCACCCCACACAAGCGCCAACACATGTGATGGAAATAGACATGAGATACTAGTTTGGAAGTGCCCTGTCACTTTTCTGATGTTCAATTCCTTACTTGAAAAGTAAAGGGCTTGAGCTGCTTTAAAATTTCATTTAATGAGCTAGTGATTTAGAATATGACAGAAAAACTTGCCTAGAACATTTTAATAAAAAAAAAAAAAATCACTGGTAGTTCTATAGTAAAGGGGGAACTAACGAGAAAAGTGCCTGAACTAATAAGCGACATTATCTTAATTTACACTGACTTTAAAAAGTACTTCAGTTTTTGCCAAGAGAGAAAAAAAATCATTGTACCTGAGTAACTGGTAACTAAGAATTTAAAGACTAAAAGGGTCCTGCAGATATAACACACCCTATGTGAGCAAATGTCAAATGAAAAATATTTAGTATAGTGTGTAGAACTGAACAGGGACCCTTGAAACAAAGCTGATATTTCCATCTTGGCAAAACACTCATTTGAGCTCTGCTCTTTAATCTGTAGTATCACTCCTCCCCCCCCAACCCCGATCTCCCTCCCCCAGAGTGTCATGTAATCAATTGGGTAATTATTCTTTTCTTTTTATAAAAATTAATACTCAAAATAGGACAGAATCAGGGTTATAAATACTTCATCAGCTAGAAGTTTCAGCATGAAAAATAATTAAAATGAAACAAAATAATCTTATAGTTGAAAAAATCTAATGAACAATGCTAGCTAGTATATGGACCATATCTTATTCATAAGTACATCATGAAAAATTTCATTAGTATTTTGTTAAGAAAACATATCTTAGTAATGTTTCTTATATAACCCTAAAATGGTGAAAAGCTTTACAGAATTTTATACCAAAGTTTTACAAAATAGAAATACTGAGCAAATAAAACACTGATAACCAATCTTATTTTCTAAATAATTAATAAAAATCACTAGTATTAAGTTTACTGATTTTGAAAATAATGGGCATTAAGATTTTATTAACAAAATTAATCATATGAACAGGTAAAACAAATCACTGGGTATTACATGCCTATAGCTTTCTTTAGTGACTGCTATTTTTTTATAAACACACAAGACTAAGTTATGTTTTTTTTTTAAAGTGGCTGTTCTTATGCACTAAGAATAAGGAAGTTATTGTTAGTACCATTTACTTGAGTTAGTTGTCAGTCAGGAAACAGTCAATTTTCTTAAGAGGTAATACAAGACAATGTTGAATAAGACAAGCTAGAAACAGATTACTTGACCGTAAACATAAGTGATTTATCTGCTAGCTGTATAACCGTTACTTATACTCTCAGTTTCTTCACCTGTAACACAGACAAGTAACAGTAAATAGTTTACTGAAGTTACAAAATTAGCTAAATGTGAAAAGCTATTTACAAAGGACCAATATAAAGCCACGGTATTGTAATTGCTAGTTATGTTAAACAAACAAAAAATGCTTTGTCTCAGATATCTTAGCCTTACGATTGGACAGTTAAAAAAAAAAAGGGAGGGAGTTGATTTTTCATATCTGGGCTAGATTATTAAAATGTGAATGGCAATTTGCACTGTCTCTCCTCCCCAACGGGTGAAACAACAGGTGAAACTTATGAACAAAGTTTCAGAACCAAGATTGACTAGTCAGCTGGCCTTCTATACAAGATAGTTCTTTAACCAGAGTCAATGTAGACTTCTGTTTTATTTTAATGATTTATTTTGTTCATTGATGCATACAAGAACTGGGTGGGGCAGTGGGGGCGGTGATGAGAGAATTCACCAGACACACCCTGGGGAGCAGAACAGGTGGATCTAGGATCTACTGAAATACACTTGCTGAGGGGAGTTATGGGGAGAGAAGCGAGGGTTGCTGTGCCATGTGGGTCAATTCCCTGGCTGGACTCATGCCACAGTGGCTGGTGATCGCTTGATAATGCTGAAACTTTAACCGCAGCACCAACAGGGAGGCCCTTCGCTTAATTCTTATGCTTCCTTTCTTAGACCTCTGGATAAAGATGTAAAGCTGAAGTTATAAATCTTGATAGACTGAGCAGAAAGAGGTGATACTTTTATGAGGTTCAGCATGCTTCAGAAAAGTTTAGCACTGATGACAGAAAATAGAGTAATTTAAAATTCTCAAGGAATCGCAGCACATTTGATAGGATGTGTCTAATGGAAAATGCCAGTCTTATCCAGACCTTCAGGATTTTGACAGTTTTTTCCCCCAATGTTTCAATGACATTTTATATGTTTTTCAATAGCATGCCTTATGCTACAAAAGTTTAACTACAAAACTAGATACTAAACTAGGGTGATAAATTAATGTATTTTTTTTAAAACTACAAAATTTTTACAGTTTCACACAGAGTTGCCTCCCCCCAAGTCAAGAAAAATTAAGACATGAGTAACCCTAGCATGTATAATGAGAGATTTGGGGATACAAATTATCATTACAGAATTGTAAGTAAAACTATAATGAGCTTTCATCTCAACTGCAAGTACTGGAGAGGAGGTGGAGACAAAGGAGCCTTTACACACTACCGTGGGTGTGATTTTGTTCAGTCACTATGGAAAACAGAATGAGGGGTTCTCAAAAAAATTAAAAATAGAGCTTCAATATGATCCAATAACCATACTTCTGGGTATATAAGTGAAGACTATGAACCCACTATTTCAAAAAGATATGTGCAGTCCAATGTTCAGTGTGGTTCAATTTCAATCACCAAATATGGAAACAACCTAAGCACCTGACAAGAGATGAGTGGGAAAGAAGACATGGCTTACACACACACTGGGATACCACTCAGCCACAATACAAGACAGAGTCGTGCCACTGACAACATGGCAGCAAGTTAGAAGAAGAAGATAATTACTGCATGATTGCACTCATTTGCGGAACAGAAAGCAAGCAAGCAAATGAGTAAACAAAACAAAAACAATGGAATGGTCATTACTAGGGGTGGGGTTGGGGGAATCCCTGAGGACAGGAAAGGGTGAAGTGCACAGACTGATCAGTGGAGAGTGGTGACTGGACATGTGGTAGTGGGTGTGGTGTGATTTATACAGGTGTTGAGGTGATACCCTGGTCACCTGAAACCTGGTCAGTACTGCAAATTTAACTATCTATAGGTGCAATAAACTAAAAACTATAGTAAATAACATGCTGACAGACACCAACCAAAAACAAACAACATTATATACAAAGCAGGACTGTCCTTCTAACAATGTTCTCAGTCACAAATCTGTTAACTGAAGTTTTTCAAATAGTCAAGTTCAAATATTTTGTATATATTCCATTCAAAATAGAAAAATATGGGAAGCTAGTCAATACATTTAACTAAGTCAATAAAATCCAGGATAAAAAAATCAGAGAAATAATTCAAAAAATTTAATTATATGTAAAGTCCTTTTCATGGAAGGTAAAAATCCTAAGCTGATTACATTTTAAGTTCTTTCATAAACTATAGGTATGAAAGTCCCTTCTAATGTTTCACATTCTATAATGGAAGGAGTAATAACATATTATTAAGATGAAATATACTGTAAAAGAAATTTGTTGAAAAACTATTATACAAAAGTGCTAGTACATAATTAAGGTTGATTTAACCACTATTGCTGAATCACTTAAAAACCCACAATTACAAAGAGGTAAATAACTGATTCTCTGTAGAGGACAGCCCACTAGCCCAAGAAAAAAAAGAAAAAACAAAAAAAAAACACCTTATTAAAAAAAAAAAAGACTAGATGTGCTAATAACAGTCAGCCAATGTTAATATGACTAAACAGGGTTCAATTTACAACATGAAGACAATATGGATGCTATTTCTAAGAATTTTTGAAACTGAATTTTACTATATATTGAACTTTGTCAGTGAGAAAAAGAAAAAAAAATTAAGCTTTTTAGAGTTCACCTAATACATACAAGTCAAGGAATATGTGCCAGTAGATTCTGGAAAACAAGTCACAACCGCATAACAAAAAGTATGGATTTAAATTAAAATCCTTTAAGTAAATGGTATTTAAAATCTTCAGAGAATATTCTTATGTTTATGACTAAAACACTTAGTGTAGTTATATTCCCAGTTATATATTTTGTCTCATAGTCTTAAAATTTTGAGAACCTTGGGTTGAGCAATTCATTTCAAAAATACTCATAAAAACAATCAAGAGGAGTAATACAAAATCTCTTTGTCACTTATTTCTATTGGGAGGAAAGCTGTATACAAGTCCCATAAGTCAAGGACAGTATAAAATAGTCTGTCCATAAGTCAAGGACAGACACTGAAATAGTCTTACAGGAAACTATTTCCTTGAAATTTGTAGGTTTGAAAATATGAAGAGAGATATTAGTTAAAAAAAAAAAAGTAAAACTATAAAGAAAAATATTACTTAAAAACTTAGGAGTAAAAAATTGTATTATTTGTGTCATAAATTGAACCCTGTTTTATTTTGAAATAAAGCAAAAAAAAATAGAATAATTCACACTGTCAGAGGAAGAGCTGAAACCACAATTTAACTGATTTTTTAATAATTATTGCCCCAATGAGTTTGAAAGAAACATAGCCCAAGAGATTATTATTTAGCATAGGAATATAAATTAATATACATAAGATGCAATGGATTAGGTAATTTTTTGATGTTAACATTGCATATAGCAAGAATTAGCAATAAAACAGAAATTTCTATTTCCTACCTATATCACTGGCTACCATCTTGGAAAACTTTCTGCTTTTGGTCTTCACTGAAAATAATATTTTGATATAAAATGTCAAAAATCTATTCAAAGTAAACTAAATGAATTAAATATAAATAAAAGAAAATACTTTAAAATAAGATACTATACCCTTTTCTATAAAATTATTCATTTTTTGTTCATCATCTGAATTGTGTGGTGATGAAGAACCTACACAAATGAAGACAATGGAAGGAATAGACACACTGTCAGTCACAAACACTGGGTTGTCACATGGAAAAGTTCAAACACAACAATCTGGTAACCTTTAAAACAAGTTCCTTGACTCTTCTTCACAAGGAAATCTCACATAGCTCATTAACAACAATTCTTATAAGCAATTTTTATAAGAATAACAATCTGTATACATAAACATTAGCTATTTTTTCCTTAAGTTCTAACCGTTTGGCAAATTCTTGGTGTATATATTATAAACGATAAAACTACCAGTAGCATTTAATTAACTGTCTCCAGGAAAAGTGAAAAGATGGTTTATCTAGAACAAGATTCCTGTACAAGTATATATTGTACATTTATTTTAGAGTTAGCTTTCTTGCTATCAAAGTTTAAAATCACATAAATTCTATTCTGTTCAATAGAGATCTTTAAAATACAGAGAATAGTACTTACAATTTTAGATTACTTAAATATTTAGATTTATTTCAGTTGTGACTTCTAATAAGTTTATCTAACATCTATTAATTAAATTTTGTTTAAAATCTTAAATTTAAAAGTTTCTAAAATTTCATAGTATTCCTTTAATTTTTAACACAAAAATTTTAACATAAAATTTTCATTGTGTCATCCTTAGTATTCTAGCTGCTAACTTTTACTAATCAAATTATCAATTTTTCTTAATACAGAAGTTAAAACACATCCATTAAATTTTTCACGCACTCCCTAAATATAAATCACTCCCCCTCTGAATTCCCACAGCACTTATCTACACACCTCTTTTATGCTGTTGCCCTCTCAGTGCTGAATGTGCTAAGCTTACACACACATGTTCTTTGCAATGCGCTCAGCAGAGCTGGGCCCCATCTCACACATCCTTCATCCCTGTGCACTCAGTGCAGTGCTCTGCAAGCAGCAATCTCCAAGCAAATATTTGCTAAATATATAAAGCTTTTGGCTAGAAGCAAATACCTAAAAGGAACTGAAATAAATAAAAAGGTCTTTATGTGCTCTTTTTCTTGTTTTAACCCATGAAAACTTAATGAGTAAGGGCAAAATATGCTTTTTCCTTCCCTACCCCTGCCCAACAAAATCATTCTTTAACTAGATGAAAATATCTACTAAAGTCTCCTCTCAGATCAGATCAAACATGCTCATACTGGTAGAATTTCAATTGCTTCCATAACAGACTAAAAAGCTTCTGCTTTAAACACCAAGTTATTTTTACTAAGCAGTAACTATACATCCTTGAAAATTCTTTATCAAAAGTATCACATAAGTAACATTGAGTTCAGTAATACTTTCAGTGATAGAAATAGGTATTTTTATCATAATTCATATTTAAAGAAGATAAAAGTTATGTTATATAGATCTTAATATATCACTCATCACTGATGCTAAATAGTGACACAAACATACAAAAAAAACTCAATTTTTTTTTCAATATATTTCCTATTAAAGGTACCAGGATAATAATAAGTCTAAACATGAATATAAAGTTATAAAAAAAAAAGTCTTAGCATTTTAAACACACAAAAAAAGCAATACAAACTGTAAATATAAGTAAAATCAACAGATTTATCTTCCTTTCATGGAAAATGCCCACCACTTGCTGTCATGACTTCTGTGAAAGTTTACTGAAAAGTTCCAAAGTGGTTTCCACCAATCCCACTTGGATATATTTAACCAAACCATTAGGGCTAAATAAGCATAGATAGTATAGATAATATATACAGTTTTCTGTCTTTCCTAAAGTACATGTCAATTCCTCAACTCAATATTTATATGCCAGTCTGTTTGGTACTAGACTTTTTTCAACTTGAGATAATCTAACAAATATTTTTGTCATTTTAACATTTATAGTGTTTGTGGGTGTATCTTTTTGTGGACCTAGAACAAAAAAATTTCCAGCATTTATTAAACAATTCAGTGAAGCAATATGAGTTCTTTGAAATAAAGATCAAAAGGAAATGGCAGAAATAAATTTCGTTGTTGATTCAGGATGGCAGAATATATATATATATATTAATTTTCCATTTCAAAAAGACTGTTGGTTTATTTATAAACAAATGGAAAGGACAAAGTATATTAACTACTTGGATTTCTTAAGGATTATTTTTGAATACAGTTTTAATTAGCAATACTGTTGAGATTACATACCTTGATTACAATAGTTAAAAGCTTCAAAAAGTTTATTATTTACTGCTTCGTGTTTTACTGAGTAAACACACTGACTTAGATAAAGGGCATATGGTCACTTTTATTTGGCCCTCTTCTTAGCATTTATAAGGGGGTTCATTTGAACATCCAGCCCACTTAAGTATACTTCTTCTTCAAATACTAAACATTGGTTTCCACTAGCTATATTGGTTTTATTAATGTATACTGTTAGTATTCATTTCTCATTGCATTGCAGAAAATATCTGCAGCTACCCATTAAATTACTAACTTTCTACAGCTTAAATAATCTGCTCCCTTTCTGGCTCTTCAGATTCACCTTGCACTCACCCCATCCATTTTTCTTAATTAACCTTAAGTTAGTAGAATTTTCTTGTGTTGATGAGGAATAATAAGTTATTCCTTTATTTTCTTATTAGAAAGCTAAAAGAACTGAAGTCAAAAAGTCATAATGTGCAAAATGTAACACAAGTGGCCTGACAGATAGCTAACAAAACTATTAGTAATTTTATTTAATAACTACTAACTAAATGGACAAATGTAAAAGTACAAATAAGCTATAATAACACAACATCTAAGGACAGCTTTTCATAATTTTATTCTAATTCTATTGTGATGTTTTTAGTTTTCAGCATGTCATGCTTCATGTTATTACTGTCTATTAAATTGTTTTATGCTTATGAATTATTTTTTGATAAAAATAGTTTTTATAATTTGCAAACAGATATAATTCTTTGGAGAATTCTTATATCTTTTAGGGTATTATTAAAAACTAAATCAAGAGTTATATTTGAAGATAAGAATTTGTAATTTATCAAGATTTCTGAGCTCACAATTTTTACTTTGCATTTCAAAATCAGTGAGAAACAAAGAAAGACCTAGTGTCACATCAATTCCAGCATGTTAAGGTACACTGTCTTTTCACGTGGACCAACGAGTGTAATATATTTGCAAATGTTGATCCGAAAATATTTTACTTCTATGTACTTTATACATTTATGCATTTAGGGTTAATTACAATTATCTACAATTACCTCATTTAGTTTATTCCAAAAATCTAAGTACATATACTTAATGAAAGTCTGGCTGAGGAAAAAAAGAAATATTAATTTATTTGGGCTGAATTTTGTTAAAATGTTTTTCATGGTCATTTAATTTAAAATAAAACATGTTCAAATTATTCAGTCTGGGTCACAGCCTTAAGATACTGAATAGCGCATTCATATGGTACTTAGGGAGGGTGAGATGATTAGCACAACACTGTAAATAAACAGTAGCAATAAGTGAAAGATGCTGTAATTCTAAATTCCTAGTTCAGAAGTAACTCTACTCCTGTGTGATGAAAAATATAATTACTTGCTCCTTATTATTCATTCACACTTTATTCTGCAAATGCTCAGATTTAAGTTGTTAATTAATTCTCATGGCTCTATGTTTTACTAGTTTAATGAGTGAATATATATATATATATACACATAGATACATGAAATTTACAAAACTCAGAAGATGTATTTAAAGAAATGATTAAATATAAATACTGTAGTATCAGAAAAATGTAATTTTCATAAGAAAAGCTTCTAAATCTAATAAAATGCTAAACTGAAAGGTGAGTGAATGAAAGTAAAATGCACTTCTCTAATATTAGCCATCCTTCATTGTTTTTGAAGTAACAAAACTGGTTATGGTATGATAAAAATCTAAGAACAGTGTTACTTCATGCCCAAAACAATCTTTACAGAAGAGAGCTAATGAAAAGTTCCCTCAGAATGACTTAGTAAATAGCTAAGATTATGATGTCAATCTTGTTAAAGATTAGTGAAGTTTCAAGCTAATAAAAAATGCTAATAAATTCAGCATCCTCTTTAAAGGAGTCTGAAAAGCCCTAAAACTTATGTTGTTCCAATCAACATTTACATAAGTCACATAAAGACCTATTTTTGGACAAAAAAGAGAACTGCTTTAATAAAGTTGTAAAATGACACCAGGTGTTACTTGGATCAAAAACAGAAAACAGAAAATTATAGATTAGAAAAACTAATCTATAATTATTCTCATTATCAATAATCACCACTCCATTATAAGTAAAAAAGATCTTTTGTAACATTTAAACAGATGTTATTTAGGATTGGAAGCCTATTTTCTGGATGATGCCAACCATGTCTAGAGCGAAGATAAGATTGTAGAGAATGAAACCATATGATCTAAAATTAAGGAGTAAAAAAATTAAGGAGTAAAATATATTTTCCATAAAAAGTTTAAATATTAGAAAGGTAAGTGAATACTTTAGGGCTCTTTAACAGACGACAATATAATCCGACATTTTTATCTAGCACAAATTTTATCTCTTTTCATTCAATGAGAATGCAATAAGAATACATGTATCACACAAAAGTCCTTGTAGAAAAAAAAAAGTTTCTTATGAATGTACTTTAAATGCTTATTTCTGGAAAGATACTTATATGCTATATACTAGCATGTAAATTGTAACTACTAATGTGATAAAAAATTACCAGAAGTAGGAGATTTGCAGCGATCTTCTGGGACAACAGTTCCTTCACTGATATCACACAAACCTGCTAAAAAACAAAACCAAAACCCAATCAAAACACACAGTAATATATAAGTGCAGTTTTTATCTTTTACTCAGAGTACACATTTAACTGGTGTCCATTTAAAAAAAAAAAAACAAAAAAAAATGTGCAAAATGATGTAAAAATAAACTTTGTAATAAAAAAAAAACCAAAAAAAAAAAAAAACCCAGCAGATAAATTCAACACTTGCTATAACATGAATACTCTGCTTATTAGTTTTAAGATAAGAACATCAGAATGTTTTTATATTAAAATATCTCAAACTAATGCAACATTTACTACTTAAAAAAAAAAAATTCCAAGGCAGGTAATTTGCTATCCTTCAAGAATATTAGGAAGAATGAAGGACTTTGTTAAAAGCTTGAGGGAGTGTGGTAGACTTCTTATTCAATTAATTATTAGATCTTCTCTTGAGAGAGAGTAGCTGTCAATAATTTGGTGATTTTTACTTCAAAGGACCCCAAAACTCAAACTGAAAGTGATTTACCCAAAGTATGTCTCAAATATCTACCTTAAATTTTGAATAATTAAGAAAACATTTTGTTTCTCCAAATTTGCAGTCTTTAGTGGACGATTTATCTTGTAGGGTTATATTTCTCATACACATTACCATTCCACTTTGTAAAAGAGCTCTAAAGAAATACTCTTCTCTCTCACACTCATACACTATATATAAATTGAATCTATTTTATAGGATGGCATAATTTCTTAAGACAAACTATAGCAAGACTGTAGACAAGAACTGAAAGTTATGACACATGAAAAAAATTACTATTAATTCTCTAAAAATTAAAAATAAAAAACTCCTTGATACTTTGGGCTGCCTGGTAGCAGACGAGGGACCACGCCTCTCTGCCTGAGAACAAGGCGCCGCACTAGCAGAGGTGTGCAGGCGACTGGTATCTGCTTCTCCAGGGCCGTGTCTCCACAGGGGCATTTCCAGAGGCCACTGAATATTTAACTAGGCTTCTAAGAAATTTTCTAATTTGAATTATATATTATTTGTCATCTCAATGGGTGGGAAGTGGAGTGAAAACCAATTATGTTTATTATTACTTTTTGGAAAACTTGCATCAAAGGTTCTTAAAAAAAAAAAAACACCCAAAACCTAGTTATTATCATTTTAAAGATGACTGATAAAATAAGAGGTTTGAGGGTAACCTCAGGGAAAATACTTGTTTATATGAAAAACAATGTTTACTAGAGACAACACTAAAATAGCCAATCTTTAAGGAGTAATGCTAATGTACTCCAGTATTACAATGAGGCTAGTACTGAATGAAAATAGCTAATACTGAAATTTTAAGCCATTGGAATTTTGTCATCTGCTAATAAACACTATAAAAATGTACTATGTAATATAATTCCCATCCTTAAAATAGCCTAGAAAGAAGGAAACATTTAGGACATATCAGTTACCTAGCAAATCATTCTAGAATTTGCATGTCAACTTCACCAATTTGTAAGATCTCTGAACTTCATAACCTGGGTACTCTTTATGTCTTAATTTTTGCTTGTTTTAACTTACTAACTTAATGGCTTAGATTCTAACTGTTAACCTTTCTCTATTAATTTTCACACTTTCCAAAGAGAAATATATTCTTATTGGAAAGTTGAAACACAAAGCTACTTAGTTCTACATTCTTTTTTTTTTTAACCACATTTTAAGTTATTCCCAAAATGTGATCTCAATCCTTACATAACTATCAGTACATATTCAATGTATGTAAACATTTTGCTATACTTCCCATTTTTTGGAAACTAGCCTTAATTTAACAAAGTGCAAAGTTCTTTTCTTTTTAAAGATTTATTTATTTAAGCATACAGAACTGGGGTACAGGCCAGAGGTGCAAGGGCAGTGAGAGGATTCATCGGAGACAGAGTGGGGAGCAGAACAGGCAGATCAATGAAAAGGGGAGCAGGAGGCAGGCCAGGAGAGGTCTGCTGTGCCCTGTGGGTCACTTCCCGGGCAGGGGGCATCAAACTCATACAAAGCGGCCACAGCCGCTGCATCCTAACCCGCTGTGCCCCAGGGAAGGCCAACTGTGGCTACATACAACACACACCCACACCCTAATATTTCAGATCTTTTCAAAATAAATGAGAAAAAAAGTGCTGTTTATAGATAAAATTAAACATGTTATGGCTTTATTGACATGTAATAAATAACTTACTTAAAAAAGATGAATGACATTTTCCCACAAATTCTGAATAAAAACTAGAAAGGCCGCACATGCAAGAAGTCACAATCAGTAGACCTTAGTGAAGCAGTGAAAACCAAAGACAGAAAAGGAAACAAAGATGCTAGAATGGCTTGACTGGGGCAACAGTTTCTGAAGATACCTATTACATGACAGAACGATCACACACAATAAGAAATGGAAACAAACTTGACCAGCAAGCCCAGGTGACAGTACGAGCCCCTCACTTTCTCCTCCTCTCTCATGAGTTATGATGCAAGTAAGATGAGCTAATCACATCCTCGGAACCAGTGGAAAGTGAACCTGGGAGAACTGCAGGAGGCGAAGGCCGGCACATCCAGTGCCCCCTGCACGCTGGCATTCTGTAAGCGGTTCCGCCTGCCCGCATCAGTGGGGGAGCACTCGTCACCATGCTCAGGGCCAGAGCCAGTGCATTTGCCATCTGTGCCAGGAAGGTTTTTTTTTTTTTTTCTTTTTTCATTATTATTACTTTTTATTCATTTTCTTTTTAAATGAGGAATACTTGTATCAATAGTCAACTATGCATGTGCTCTGTAGGCTATTAGTGTTAAAACTTAAAATGAAGATGAGTTACCTGACAAACACAGAGAACGGTATAGCCTGCTGGCACTGAATAAATGCTATCCTGAGGACACTGTATTTTCATAGAATTCAAATTCACATTTGTACCTATTTTTTTTTCCACAAAGGAAATGAGTCCTTTGAATTAAATAACTGCAACAATGAAATACTGTTCTCATACTATTAAATAATAAAGAGAGAAAACTTGGACATTAACTTTCATTTTGTAATCATGTCACAATTTTCCTGTTATAACTTCACTAAAGTTTGATATTGTGATTCCTTGCCACCATTACATAAAATCCTACAATATTAAAAGCAAAATAAAACACTAGTAATACAAGACAAAAACTCAGTCTCATGCTTTTTAGTCCACACAAGGAAATCAGACAAGCAATTTAACACCTGTAGTTATAGTTACAGAAGAAATTAAGCAGTTATAGAGATCCTGATACTCAGAGTAACCTTTCTTTTACCTCCTGAAGGTTGTCGAGATTTACGTGGAGACCGGGGCTCTCTCCGGTAAGGGTCATTGGAGCCATATAACTCAACAGTGCCCAGGTTGAGGAGGACAGCCTTCTGAAGGTAATCTACCAAAGCAATGCCATTACAGTTGCCAAAAACTACCCTGGGAGTAAGAGGAAAGCAAGTATTTCAGTACAAATGAATAGTGAAATGAAAATTTACTGTTGTCTGAAAGGCTAAAGCTGAAGCATGATGAGCCTTTGAAACAAAAGATCATCCGTGATGTAGAAATACACATTGCACATATCTTTTCATGGCAGAGTAGATATTCTGGTATAGTATTTATAGGTAAAGACAATAAATCATCATTATTTCGGAGCTGAAACTACCAATGATAAAGGTCCCTCACAATAGTGATGTGAAGTCTAGTTCTCTGCAGTGAGAGATTTCGAGTCTCCCAGGGGAAGACATTCCTTTCTCCTAAGGAAGTAGGGGGTTATACCTTGAGGGAAGTTTTAGTAGTCCCTCAGTTAGGAACAAAAGTAGAAAGCTTAAGTCTTGGAGGACTCACTTTTGCGTACTCAACAATGGATCAAGAACAACAAACCAAGCAACTATGAAAAATGAAATGTTATTCTTTAAAGATTTAAAGTCAAGGATTGAAAAACTAAAGGTTTAGAGGGATTACATAAATATGTAAAAGAAATAAAAGTTAAATGCTTTAGAATTGAAACAAAAAATTAAATGTGTTAGAAACTATAATTTATAATAAAAATTATGTTCTGTTAATAATGATATACTTAAAGGCCTAAACTGATAAATAAATCTGTAATACAGATTTTTATTACCTTTTACTTTATTAACTATTACTGTGTCTTTATAATTTATGCAATTGAGCTTAGGACAGAGGAAAAGAACAACTATATAACTGAAGCACAGCATTTAGAGAGTCAGCTTATAACAGTCTTCTGGGTTGATACTATTAACCCTGTATCATACTAACTATTAATAAGGAATTTATTACTGACTGTATAGCCAAGAGAGAATATACTGACTTTAAACCTTTATCTCTATCTTATTATTAAACAATTAATTGACTCTTAAGACATTTAACTATACATCAACAAACAGTATATATACTTATCCAGAGTAAATTATTCTCAACACAACTGTTCCAAACAAAATCTGAATTTGGTCTGAAATTAAAGTTATACATAGCTTTTTAAGTAATACTATAAGGATTACCCTTTCTATTTAAAAAAAATGAAACAAATATATGGAATACTATGAGTAACACATAAATTATACTTACAATCCATAGGAAGAATTGACTGCCAGGCTAGTTATCTGTTGTGGTGGCTCTCCGCCTACCCATACCAATTGAATAACTAGCTCTGTCTGATAACCTGGAGACTGCTTAAGTGGAGAATTTTTAACTCTGTAATAAAGGAAAACATGTTATCACTTAACCTTGTCAATTGCCTTATTAACCTATATAAAGTCATGCATAACTATATGAAAATAAATTTATATACATATATAATTAAGCTAGAAATACAAACTGTAAAAACCAGAGACCTATCTCCTATAAGCATTTAACCTAGCTGGGAGATAAAGTATATACATAAATAGCAGAAGTAAGAAGTAATATATGAGTTCCACAGAGAATGGGGGAATAGCAGGGGAACAGAGAAAGAAGTGACTGGAAAGACACTTAGTCAACTTAGTTTTTAAGAAGACTAGAAAGCGTGATGAGAAAAAGAATGAAGAGAAGTGGCAGCCAAAGAATGAAGAAGAGGGAAAAAAAATCAAGTTAGAGAAGTAGACTTAAAACTTAAGAATATGGTGATCAAGTTAATATTGCTCTAAAAAAATGAGTTTCATTTTATATGTTAACCACTTTTACCATAAAAAAGTGACTTTGAGTGGATAATAGTAATTTTTTTTTTTTTGCAAAGAATCTTTCCTCCATAATTGCTGAACAGTGCTAAAAAAAATACTGCTTTTGTAAAACATGCAAACAAAGTACGAAGAAACCCACACGGACAGACTAAAATTTAGGGTGACTGGTGTGTCTTCAAATGAACTACTCATGAACTGTTAAATGTATTCTCACACCTCACTTAAACTGAGCAAAACTTAAACAAGTTCTAAGCATGTTAGGGGAGTGAGGGAGGGTTTCATGAGAGACTTTCTAAGGCATCATCACTTCAGTACAATACTTGCAACACTACTATCAGTAAACGTCAAGAGGATCTGAAATACTACTTAGTTTTTAAGAGTGAGCAATTTGTGTATGGGTGTGTGAGACTACTTTTACTATTAACAAGTAAGCCACTGTGTCTTGTAGGTGAGAAACTTTTTGATTACACAGACTCTCCAAAAACTGGCACGTCTAAACCATATATGAAGCCTGGTTACTCCATCAATTCTTGAGGCGTCTGCCCTAGGGTGACGGTCTGAGGGAGGCCAGCAGGAGACTCCTCAATGTCAAGCTTGTGGTACGAACCCAAACCATCATTTTGTTGGTACCGCTGGTGAGGGCCTAACACCTGAGCCTTGGCTGACACATTTGCTAGACTAATTGCCGGCAGGGAGAGAGTCAGCATGCCGTCCGCGTGCAGGGCGACCGTGAGTCAGAGGGTGTTTCCATGCGAGCGGAGGTCCGGCCACGTCTGCCTGTGCGGCGCCTGCAGGGCGACACACTCAGCAGTGTGCTCTGCTTGGACAAGAGCTGACAGTATTTTCTCAAGGAAGTGCCTGCTCCTCAGGGGCAGCCCTCCATCTAGAGGCACAAATAAAGACAAAGCAACATTTCCTCTTCACTCGGAGACAGCCCGTGTTGGCTAAGGCGGAAGGCTGTGCCGCTTTGCGTCACCCTCCCTCTGGCATATTTAATGTACATTTACGATTTGCCTCTCAAAAGGAGAAATAGGTATTTAGGGATAACTGCAGAAGGTCATTTATGAGCATTCTGAAAGCTTAAGTGACAAAGAACACAAAACTTATGCTATTCTTATTTTTGTCATTGTGAAAAAAAAAATTCTTAAGCAAAAATAAGTCAGCTAAATCTGCTACAATACCCAGTTGGTTAAAAAATATAGAAATCAGATTAAAAAAAAAAAAAAGACTATGTTATTTTTTAAAAATAAAACATGGGGAATGGTGGGTGTTATATTTTATGTCTACAATGGTTACATACACGTTATTTTAATATTTTTAACATATGTAAATTAATTTGTACTTTTTTTAAGCTAAGGAGTTAACAAACCTTTATGGAAATCTCTGTAATTTGTATTAGTGTATTTTGAATGACAAAATATTTGGTGACTTCATGGTTTCAAAAATGTGTATAGGTGTTTAGACAAATACTTTGCAAAAGTACAATTAAAATAATTAAAAACATGTTACTTGTAAAAGGAGTAATACAACAGCAGCTTAAAAAATGTCTTTGAAATAATTATGTATAAAGGGATTTTGTAGGAAAGATAAAATGTCAGTATTATTTGTCTTAACATCAATTCGGCTTATTCCTGACTTTTAAAAAAACTGGGTTTTGGGGCTGTGAATTAAAACACTGTGAAGGTAATAAATAACTGCATTTACCTGAACACTATTCAGAGGGGGGAAAAAGTGAGGTGTAATTCACACGGTCTGTGATTTTTAAAAAGTGACTAGGAATGTGTGGATTTTAGACAAAAATCTGAAAGACCTGTTACCAAAATAAACTTCAGTGACAAACTGTACTTTAAACACATATAAACTTACATTTCACAAAAATCTGACAAATACACATGAAAATCAGGAGAAAAAGCATTGGATATTCTGCAACTTTCTCTAAAGTAGTACTGAATAAGTGACAACAGTGAGACATGTAACATTTTTATTTCGAAGCCGCAGTCTTGCTAGATGTGTGCGGAATCGGAGGAGCAGAGTGTGGCGGAGCTGTATGTACAAAGCAGAGAGGCAGAGGCAGACAGGTGGGAGTGGGCAGGGCTCAAGGCCTTCCGAGCAATGCAACTGTTTAAACTCAAGGGCGGTGTTTCCTTAGATCAAATCACAGTTTCTTGCCCTTAGCGCCATAGACATTAAGGGCTCTGCTGCGGAATGCTGCCCTGAGCAGTGCCAGACCTCTAACCCCTCCCTGGCCCACACGCCAGAAGCCCAGATGGGACACTAGTGTAAAATGTCTACAGACACTGAAATTTTAAAAATCTCACAATTTTAAATTTACACAAAAATATAAAGATGATTTTTATCATGCAATGTCTTAAATGATTGTGATATTAAAAAATGGCCGGCTGGGTCCTCCCTGGTGGCGCAGCGGGTTAAAGCACGGCACTAAGAAGCTAAAGTCACTTCCACATGAGTTCGATCCCCGCCTGCCCCGGAGGTGACCACATGGTGTGGCAGACCTCTCCTGACCCGCCCGCTGCTCCCCTCAGCAGTGTACTTCGTCGATCTGCCTGTTCTGCTCCCCACTCTGTCTCCGGTGAATCCTCTCACCCTCCGCATCTCTGGCCTGTACCCCAGTTTCATATGAATAAATAAATAAATCTTAAAAAAAAAAAAAATGGCCTGCTGGCCCTCCCTGGTGGCACAACAGGCTAAAGAGCAGCACTACAAGGCTAGCTGCAGCCGCCGCAACATAAGTTTGATGCCCAGCTCTGGAGCTGACCCACATGGCGTGGCAGACCTCTCCTGACCCGCCCGCTGCTCCCCTCAGCAGTGGACTTTCTCAGTTGGCCTGTCCAGCTCCCCACTCGGTCTCTGATGAAGCTTCTCACCACCCCTGCACCTCTGGCCGGTACCCCAGTTCTGTATGCAAAAAAGGTCTGTTTTATCTTTGAAGTAAATGCATTTTTGACTAGACAAACATTTTCCATAGCAATTGTTAAGCTATTTACCATTAGAAGTGATTTTTTAGTTGACCTAAAGCAAGAGAGTATTAGAACTCTACTGCTGTAACAAGTGGAAGTTCTCTTACCACTTTCCTCCCTTCCTATTGTACCTACTATGGTCTGACATTTGCCCTCCAATGTTCTTCTCAAACTCTGACATTTTCAGCAACAGCTTTTCAGCTGACATCGCTATAAATCGTTTACCTTTAACTAGTCTTTATGAAAAGTTTTAGCAAGTTTAAGTCTTTATTCACAGATATTTTATTTCTCTGCCATAAATAAAGTTTATAACCTTACTATTTGATAAAACAAAATGGACATTAAAAAGGAAAAATAAACCTTATTCTATATAAAAGCAAGATGTATTAAAATTAGGATGCTGGCAGTGGTGCTGGGAAAACTGGGTAGCTACATGCAAAAAAATGAAACTGGATCATTGCCTCACTCCAGTCACAAAAATCAACTCGAAGTGGATTAAA